CAGAGGCTGCACTATCAGAGCCAAAATTTACTGCTCGTGTATTCTGTGTTAGTGTTGTTTCAAACTGAGTATTTTCCATTACTTCTTAGGGTGTCTATTCCACAACACAATCAATGTAGTTATCAGGAATTTTTCTTCAGCTAATGAGTGCAGCCCAAATTGGAATTAGGCAGTTTTAATATTCAATTATCAGAAAAGCTGATTTGAACCATAGCAGACAATACACGTGAATTTCTTCCAGATTTCTTTCAAATTTACGCACTTAAGTTGTTTTCGTTAGCATTACTGCCACATTGAGGCAAGTCAAAGTGAAAAAGGAGCCAGATCAACTTTAACAAATACAAGAACGAATGATCAGCGAGAAACAAAACAAAACAAAACAAAACAGACCTCAGCTAAAGGAACGCAGCAAATACTGCCGTGCTGGCGCTCGGCATGCAGGAGCTCCCTCTGCCTTCCAGCTTTTGGTACTGTTGCAGCAGGCAGATCTTAAGCTAATGGTTTAGGGAGCTGAAGTTAGCTGTACTGTAATGAGTTACAGCAATTGTTCTCCACCCGAATCAAACAATTCTGACACTACATAAAAATAACTTCAAATTGGGAAAGATGTGCTAAAAAGAGCCAGGGCTTTCTGGAGAGCAGCTTACTTCTGTGACAGTAAATCCAGAAACTGTTAGTGAATTTCCCTCTTCATGGTATGACTAATAAATCAATGAATGCATACGTGATGCTCCCCAAAATAACAAACCCATGAAACAAAGCAAAACAAAAAAGTGTTGACAATATCCTAACTTCTGAATAATTTTTCCATTGTTTGTGTGAGAGCTGCATATATTGAAAAAGCATTATGGAAAACATAGTAAAGCAAAAATGAGTCTAAGTAGAATTATCAGATACAAAACTGAAATAAAAAAATGTAAACTGAAACATTAATAGCAGTGACAATATCACATATTGTCTCTCCAGTAAAGCAGGAAACTAAGTTTGTTAATGACTCAGTTTGTGTATCTGGTGATGACATGAAGCTGTCAAGTTCCTGTTAGAAAAAAAATACAAGTCAATTTTCACAGATCTTGCAAATGTACTAAGTAGTCCACTGGTTCACTTCTTTTTACACTTGTGAATGTTGTACGCTAACACTCTACTACACAGCAATCCTTTTACAAGCAGAAGCTGAAGAAGAATGAACTTGTATCTGTTGAGCACTGGGTTGATCTGTTGATTACTTGGCCTAGAAGATTCTTCCAGCCACAAAACCTCCCTGTACCAGGTGTAGCTGAACAAGCCTGATGTTTTGTGATGGGCAAAGGGTAAAACATTTTCTAATTGTACATGACTGGAAACACACTCTTTTCTTGTTATGAATCAGTCACAGTAAATTTTCCTGCTGATAAAACTGACCTTTGTTAGATTGCTTAGTGAATATTTTGATCTTTTTTTCCAAATATGCAATGTCTAATTTAATGTAAACAATTCATTATAAGTCACAACATTAGTTGGAATCATCATTAGAAAGACTGGACCTCAGAATGTTCAGAACTCAAGTTCAAAGGCTTAATAAGAAATTTTAGACCTCGTAATTCTGCAGAATAGAGAACTAGAAATCTTATTACAAAAAACTCAATTAAAAATAATTTCTTCATGTACTACCTGTCTTGTGGCAAAATAAAGGAAAATGGTTGCATAAAACTTTACTGCATAAAAATATAACCCATTGCATCTTCCCAAAGTTGTTTGTCTCAAGTACTGACCTTGTGTAAAATCTCTGATATTAAATAATCATCTATTTTTATGCACATTACATACACTTCTATAGGTTTGGTGCAAAGGGGGCCACCAGTGGAGCTGTACCCATTTGCTCCAGTTTCTGTATTTGTTCCAGTAAAGCAACTGATGACATTGGCAACTGCAAACTGTTTATACAGATCTACAGAGTTGTTGCATTTCAACACAAGCTTTGGTATTTTCTCTATGTAGACATTGATGAGATCAGTCATCCTGAGCAAGATGTGAATTTCAAGACCCTTTGTAACCTGCTCCCATAAGCACAAAATAATGAATTACACCATGGTTAAGAAAGAATAATTACATACTTAGCAAAGGGTTTCCCACTAGTCTCACTGGTTGGGTGGGAATGACTTGGCAACAATGAAGCAAGCCTTTGCCTTAGTGGAAGATCAGATTCCAACACTCCCTGTGCTGCTCATCGTTTTTAGCCTTGTGACTACACAGAAAAGACTTTACACCTGTGCTGTTCAGGATCAGAACTTCAGAGATCAGCTTGCAGGTCTGAGACAGCAGTGCTTTTAATAACCACTGCACAGAATTTGATGACACAACCTTAGGAGACCATGATCACATTGGTCAGGAAAAAAGAATTAGATTGAGAATGAATGAGTGTAACAATTGCAAAACAACAGATAATTTAAAGTGGCTGCTTCAGGAGGAAGGACAAAGACATAGTGACATGTGAACACTCACTGCAGATTAGGAGGAAAATGTAATATAGTTGAGATGGGTGAGGACGTTTGTTTGTCTTGGCAAAGAATAGTTTCTCTCTTTATACAAAGACTCCTCTGCCAACTGAGCAGTCTGGAAAGAATCATACACTTTCCTCTTTATTGTCAAATGGGAGAAGGCATTTTAATGTACTGCTAGTAGGAACCCTCTTGCGCAGAAAACAAGAGACCGTAGAATCATAGAACGGCTTGGGTTGGAAAAGATCATCAAGTTCCAATCTCCCTGCTGTGGGCAGGGTTGCCATCCAATAAATCAGGCTCCAGCTCACACTGCCCAGGATCCCATCCCACCTGGCCTTGAACACCCTCAGGGATGAGGAATCCACAGCTTCCCTGGGCAGTCTGTACCAGCACCTCACCACTTCCTAAGTGAAAAGTTTCACCCTGGTGTCTAATCTAAATCTTCCCTCTTTTGGTTGAAAACCATTCCCCATTGTCCTATCACTATCTACCTATGTAAATATTGATTTTCCTCTGCAAATATTAAAAGATATTAAAAAACAAAAAAATAACCTCTTTCAAATCCTCTGCTTTGGAAGTCCATTTTGGAATACTGAAAAACACAATCCTGTGTAATATTATCAACAGCTTTAATAGTTTCAGTGATCCTAAACTCACTCTGCTCTTTACTTTGAATCCCTGCAGAATGTGCTTCATAATTGCTGAAGACACACTACGAGAGCTGAATTTGTTTTTATGACAGAGCAGAACGAGAAACATTTTAGCATTGCTCTCATCTCTGTAGTTCTTTGTGTGAGTAGAAAAAAAGACTCAGAAAAAAAAATTTGATGTAAAAAAATCCGAATGTGGTAATCTTATCTCTCCCTATTATCAACTCAAAGAAAACCAAAAAACAAAACAAAACAAAACAAAATCCACACAAACCAAAACCAAGAAAACAAAACAAAATCTTAAACAAACAACTATTCTAACACTACAACTTATTTGTAAAGAAACACATTAAGTATCCCAGCTTTGGTGAGAGCTGCTTTCCAAAAGAGTCATCTTTCTCTCTCAGATTTTACTGAAATAAAGAAAAAACAAGTTTCTGTTCTGATCATTGACTTAATATGCTGAATAAGAACATTAGGCATGTGCTGAGCCACCACTGAATTTCCTCAGAGGAATGTGTAGCAAACTGAGCTCACATTAAGCTTCTCCTTTGGTCTGACTTATGCACAGCTTTTACCTTCTCAGACACTTAGAATGTGGGACCGAGGTGGCATTAACAAGTGTGATGTAATTGCTGTCTTTACACTCCTACAGTGCTGGTGGTATGAATTCAGGTCACTCCCTGAAGTTTAATGTCCAGCTGAGAAAAACAACCAGGTGCAAAATTCAAACAAAATTCAACATATTTACCTGAAAAAACAAAACAAAACAAAACACCTGACAGCAACTCCAGAGAGACTGCAAGTAAGACTGAGAAGCAAAATCGGTTATTGCTTTTGCAAGGACAAGAAAGTGAAGAATGAACAAGTAAGGATATTTAGAACTGGAGACAAATGAGAATACAGGAAGAAAAGCTTTTTCAGCTTTGCTTTGCTTCATTTGAAATTCCTGTGGGTATACAGGGCAGAAGAAACGTTTTCTGCAATGCATTCAGCTTCCTGGCACCCCTGCAGACCTTTGACATGCACCTTACAGCAAGCTTATTTTAATTAGTCTGTGAAAACTGAAGATTTCTCCACCTGAGACACCCTTTTCGGCAGCTCGTGTGGCTGATCTGCAGCTAAGAAGAATCTTTAATACCCAGTGATATTAAATACACTGAATATGAGGGAATTTGCTGTCATTAATCTCAACAACCTCTCTGGGCAAACTGTACCAGTGCTCCAAAACCCGCATATGTAAAGAAGTGCTTTGTGACTCCTCTCATTTCACCTGAACCAACTATCATAGGACAAGATGGCCATGATGGTGGGCTGGGGACACAGGCAGCTGCCCGAAAAGCTCCAGTCTGTTGTCAACAGAAAAAAAGTACCATTTTCTGCAATAAAATTCAGCGGGAAAATTCTTTGGTTATCACAACTTTTACCTGCAAGTGATTTTCTCCTTCCAAAGCTGTCGAGCAGCGATAACTGCGTGAGCAACAGCTCGGACAGGAAGCAGCAGCAAAGCTGGGCTCATCCTGCCAGCAGCACGAGAGTTAGTTCTTAGCCTACTGGGAGCTGTTAATTGAAGGGCATCTCCTGATTCGTGGTCCCACACAGGACGCCGTGTAAACGTCCAATGCGACAAGCCGAGCTCCCTCACTGCCCCGAGGAACTACGCTAGAATGCAAACAATCTTCTCGAGCCCGCCCCTCACGGGCTCCTTGGCAGGAGGCGGGCAAAGCTCTGAGGTGAGACGGCTCCCGATTGGCTGCTGAAGGAGCAGACTGCCGTGAGAGGGCACAGCTCGTGATTGGGCGCTCGGCAGCGAAGAGCTTAACGATTGGTTGGTAGGCTTGCGCGCGGGGGCAGTGTTGTGTTTGGGCGGGAAGGCGGGTCTGCGACCGCGTGGCGTCTCGCGAGATCTGCCCGCTCCGCCTACGGTGTTCGGAGCCGGAGGTGGCGCCGCGCGGAGCCCGGCGCTGTGGCGGTCCGGTAGGTGTTCGTTCTCGTTGTGTGGCGGAGCGCGTCGGCGTGTGGGAGGAGAGTGCCTCCGCCGCCTGCCTGCCGGAGCGCACGGCGCCTTTTCCGCGGTGGGAGTGCGAGGCTTTCCTGCTCCGAGGCCCCTATCTCTCTGCCCCTCACCGGGCCGTCCCTCAGCCCCGCAGGCCTTCGCGGCGCTCCTGTCACGCGCTCACGGCGGGCCGCTTCCCACGGGCAGCCGCAGCCGCGAGAGGGGCGGAGCGGAGCCTCGCGTCGTAAGTGAGGCACGTTTCTGTCTTCTCCGTGCCGTGTGAAGCAGCAGGGATTCGGCCCTCGCAGGACCCCCACCAGCGGCTCCTCAGCGGCTGCGGGCTGCCCGTTGTCGTTGGCAGCGCCCCGTGCTCTGCTGAGAGCGGGAGGTTTGGTTGGTGGGCGGTGAGCGGGAGGGCCTGCCGGTGAAGGAAGGGCTGAACTTTGTGTCTGTGGGCTGCGCGGTGCGCTCTGTGTGTCTCAGTGCCCCGGGTGGTTCATGGAGCGCAGTTGTGAGGAGCGGTCTGTAAGTGCAGAGCTTCAGAATGTTATCTCTGGAAAAGTCCGAAAGCCGTCGGTTGTTTCTGTATTGTTTTGTGGTCTTACAGGCTTTTCACTTAAAAAACTTAAAGCTGAGAGCCGTGCTTTCAAAGGGGGAGGAAAAACGCTCTGCCTGTCTGGAATTGCCTCACTTGTCATCAGGGAAAGATGAGCTTTCCTTTCCCATTTCTTGTGTAGTAGCAGTTTGTACCCAAATATTCATGGAATATGTGCATTACAAATCCTGATTTTTTTTCCTTGAATTATTTTAATGCTGATCATCGATGTGGAATTCGTAGTGGTTTAACTTCTAACTGCTGAACTGAGGGAGCTTTTGTGTATTGGTGCCACAGACCCGCAGCATCTGTACTCTGTCTCTAAAGGCACCTGACGGAGGTGCCTGTTTCTTACAGCAATGTTTCTTCTCCTATGAAAACTCTAATTATAAAGAGTTATACCAGTACTCTCCAATCCCATGTAGGTTTCTTAACATGACAATCATTTGCTTACAGAATTGATCTTAGCATTTCTTTAATTGGGTATAAATTAAGACTAAGGGGGTCTGCGGGATGTTACATCCAAGTTGTGATTAGTAATACCTGTGGCACTTGAAGAAATTAAGTGCTGCATTCTTCCAGGAGGACACAGGTCGTTTGTAAGAGCTGCTTATCTGTAAATCAGTATTTGTAATGTAGTGGCTTGGTTTACATGATATGGTCTCCATCAGTTCTGCACTCTCAGTTGAGTTTCGCTCACAAGGACTGCCTCAGACGACTCTCTTACTGATAGCTCAGTAATTTCAATAGGTCAGAAGAGAGATCCTTCCATCAGTAAAGAAATTAACAGGTCAGTTGTTACTGGTGGAAAGCAGTTGTGATTCCTTTTTCTTAATGGAGATGAGCTGATACACATAAGGCTATAGTAAGCTTTTATCTTGACTTTTATAAATATTCTGAATATATTTTGTCCTCCTGAGTTTTGAGGCAGCATTGTTTTTATTATCCAAACTTAAGCAATGTAATGATGACTAGAATTTTGATTGTACCTGTGAAATAAGCTAAATAAAGCCTGGTTTCACATACAGATAAATTAAAAATTAATCATCACGCTTCAGTTTTCTGGCTTTGAAGTCGTTGGTAAAGCTGGATACTTTGTTTCTGTTTATTTAGGACTGCCAAAAGTCTGCTGTCATAGCTGTAACTGATACTGCAAAACTTAAAGTTTCTCTTGCATTAATTATCCTATTTTGAGATGGTTTTACTGGCTATCCATCCCATACAACTGAAAGCATTTCCTCATTATTTTATGTGGGAAGATGTAAACTTATATAGCCTATTGTTATGTTGGCTTAAAATCTACATGAAGATGTTTTTAAGTTGTCCAAACGTGCGTCCTCTGATAAATTTTGCATTTTGCTGAAGATTGTGCGTTCTTAGCACGCACCACAGAGTAAATGTAGAACACCAGTAGTGGGTAGGAGAGAGATGTCTTTTTTTTCTCTTTGCTGATGTCAGCTTTGACAAAACTATTGATGGAAAATGATTGGAAAAAAAAAAAAAAGAAGCATTATTTCGTGTTGTATGCCTCAATATCTTGATAATGCTGATCTGAGTACACTTGAACACTATGCAGAAAGCAGTCAAAAATTGCTTCTAGCAGAACTACTGGTACGAATGTTCTGAGTACTTCATGTATTGAATGGAATGGCTATGTTTTGATAGTTATAATATCTAATAGTCTAACTCTTTCAGCAAAAGATTGCATGGCATAAATGTTGATACTGTCTTATTCTCTCTTGTCTCCTAGAAATGGGCCTGTTTTTAGAAGATGCAGTGCACTAGATGTGGTGCTTGGAACAGAATTAATCATGGCATCAGAACTGTGTAAAACAATCTCTGAGGCAAAGCTGGAAAAGCACAAGAATTTATTCCTAAATTACAGAAATCTCCATCATTTTCCTCTGGAGTTACTGAAAGATGAGGGGCTGCAGTACTTGGAGAGACTTTATATGAAAAGAAATTCTCTGACCACATTGGTACGACAACTTCTTTACTGTGATGCTTACTGTCTGATTTTGAAATAGAAAAGATTAAAAAGTGTTTTAGCAAATTTGATCCTGAATGACGTGATCCCTTGTGAAATACAAGTACATGGTGTGTTGTTTTTTAACTTGGATGGATAACATAGAGTATAATAAATGAAAGCATATGCCATTTTTATATATACTCTTGGAGCTCTGAAGATCCAATGTTTTTTTTTTTTGTCTGTGTTGCATGATTTTTTTTTAACTTGTAAATCTTGCTCAAAGTGTCAGTGGTCAGGTCTTTCTACTGTTAGGAGATGCTGTGCTGTTTAGTCTAGCTCCGTTAGCTTCAACAGCGCTGACCTGTGTGTATACTTTACTGTAACGGCAATGCCAATCCCAAGATTTAAAGGAAGCTTTCTGTTAAGGTGCCAGTAGAAACTTGTTTTCTGTAAACTGCCAACAGTAGGAAGAATAATCTGTTAACTCAAGGGTTGAGGGGTGGTGGTGGTTCTTTTTGACATCTCTTGCCTTAGGAAGTAGTTTTAAAAGCTTTGACAATGATGCGTTAGATTTCCTTAATACAGGCTTTGTTTCACAGGGCAAGAGCTGAAAGGATTCTGAAGGCTTTATACCTTCCTTCATCTTTGAAGTCAATTAAGTTTGCATGCGCTGTAGAAAGTTATTTTGGTACTACTTGGGCAAGTCTTTTTGCTTAATGATTTAATGGAATTGTAGCATTCATGGTTAAATAGTAAAATTGCTTTAAAAATTAACCTGAAAGTCAATGATTACTTAGTGCTGTGAGGCTCATGAAATTTGTGCTACTCAAAAGATGGAACTAACATGGAGAGTTTTGTGTATCACTTTTCTGTGTGTCTATTTTAAATCTTGGTTTTGTTTTTCTTGGGGTAATTATAATTGTAATTGAGTTGTTTCAGTTCCATTAACTCACAACACTTAAAATTTAGATCTTGCTTGGGAAATTAACTTTCAAACAGCATGAAATAGAGAATTAGTATTCAAAGTGACCAGGATAACTTTCTCTTAATATGACTTGCTGGGATCTCATTCAAGTGCATAGCGCTACGACTTGGGCAACCAAAATTGGATCTAGCAGTATGTATTCAGCAGAATACAGGTTGGAAGTTGTAGTAGACCAAAATAGGTGAAGTCAGCAGCATGTTCCACAAAAAGGCATGTCTTTTTTTGTGTATAAAGTTTCACAGTTTGCCTTAAAAACATGAACAGTTCATTCTTGGATACTGTTAAAGTATAAGCTGAGCAAGGCTTGCAGTTTGGGGCTATATAGCTAAGGAAAACCTAGGTAAATTGAGAATAGAAAGAAAGGTAAAAGTAAGGTAAAGAAGGCAGGTAGAGAGAAGAAAAAGCTGCATCAAGGGAATTTTTGGGAAAATGCATTGTGAGAGAAGGCTTAGAGATATGGGTTGGTTTAGCTTTTGGGAAGAGAAGACAGTTAAAAATGGAATTGGAGGAAGGGTGAGAGCAGCGGTCATCTGTGTTCTTATGAAACACTGCTTTCATAAACTTATTACTTTATGTCCATTACTGGTAGGGGGAGTAATACTCAATTTAGTAAAGTAGTAGTAAGTTACAAAGGGAAACGAGTCTCATTTGAGTTGTTCTTTCACTAGATAAATTAAAAAAAAAAATGTACCACTTTATTTAAAAGGTGGTCCTGTTTCAGAAGTGTAATTTTAATGTGTCTTTCAGTCTTGAGCTTCTTGAATCTTATGCAAGATGATGAGCACTGCATTATCAATAAATACATATAGATTTAATTTTGATGGTAGTTAATCTGCACCGTATTTCTTTAAGGTGGTGCTTCCTTCTGCCTTAACATCTGATTATATCTGAGTTGAAAAACATTGACCAGCTCCTGTGGAAACATAACATAGTTATGCTGTCAGAACTTACCTATTCCTTTCTCAAGAAAAAACTCTTGTCTTCAGTGCCAAGATATTCTAGACTGTAAAATTGTGAACTGTGGGGTTGTTTCTCTCCTTTAACTTCGTATTTTAAGATAAAGCAGTTACAGACTTGATGTGATGTGAAAATATTTGTATTTCAGATTAGTGTCCTTAATAGATCAAAGGTTTAGGATGGAAGAGCTATTGCTTTTAATTTTCTTCTTAATTTAAAAGTTGAATGTCGATATATTTAATTTGGATCTGAGCACGTTGCAGCCTTTGGATATTTTTCCCATATTAAGTTTCTACTCACTGACCAAGTAGTCTCCTGTGCTGATAAATGTACTGACACAAACCTTCCAGTAGGTGGCAACAACTGATCAGTTTAGACTGTTTCTTGAGTCCCGAGGTCAGCTGATTCATTTATTACAGAACCTTATCTGCTGCTCTTTACTTAAAAACAAATATGTTTTCTGTGTGTGCTCAAATCTAGCATGTGGTGTGCTTGTTGCATAAGCACATCATGATAACTTTTTCAGGTTTACGTATTTCTTCGTAATAAGTTTATGAAATCATGCAAAGTATTTTAGGTAATAACACAGCTTACATTTACATGGCAGTGCAAATTGCTAGGCCTCTTTTACAGGAAATTGATAGTGTGATAAATCTGCTTTTAAAATTTGATTTGGATATATGGATAATGTTTAAAAAAAAAAAAAAAATCTGTGTTTGAAGTAGATTTCTTAAGCATTGAAACTGTTTTAACCTTAACTACGACTACCCTCATTTCAGACTTAGCAAGCCCATTTTGTGGTATACATTCTTGGTTATAAATGCCATCATGGAACAGAATTGCAGCTATGGATCAGTAATTATAGAAATGATAGCATTTTAACATGCTAATATGGAAATTTAGTTTGTGGGATTCAGTGTGCCTGGCTTTGTGGTTATTGGTTAAGGTACACAAAACTTTTAGATCTTTTCTTGGTTTACCAGTATTACAAAATAAAGTGTTAAAATGAGATACCTTGCATAGATCTTATTCCCCTTCAAGTCTGTAGTGGTTACAGCTTCTCAGCAGCTCTCAGCCTCAACTAATTCACTTTAAAGTTTTGCTTTTGAAAATATATTGTATTTCATCTTTTCAGGCCCAGAAGTCCACCTACCATTTGTTTGAGGACACGTTAATGTCACTTCTAGGCTATAGTTCAATTTCAGTAATGAATTGCTCACTCTTGAAATATCCCAGATTGCACTGGTGGAGAATATGTGGGGGTGTGGAAATAGGGTATTGTATGCAAACTTTCTGGTGCAGTTTTTCTGTGAGTAGCTGCTAACATGTTCTAGTGTGGTTAGTAAAATTAGTTAGGTACACAATGTGTGTTTGTTTTGAAACCTAAAAATCTCTAACTCTTTTTCAGCCAGAAAATCTTGCACAGAAGCTTCCAAACCTCGTGGAATTGTGAGTTTGTGTAGGAATTCTAATATATTCTTATTGTGCTGGTCCATCTCATCTTAAAATAGTTTTGTAATGTATTGCTGTATATTACCTGTCTTTTAAAAAGGAAGGTGCTTTTTCTATTTTTTTCAAATGGTGGTATATCCAGATGTATTCAGTGATTTTTTTTTTTAGGTTTTCTTATGTTGAATAATAAGAACAGTTATACAAATGCCTGCACTATCAAGGGGGGGAAAAACACTTATGTAAACTGTTGTAATTCTAATATAAAGCACTTGAAGCTCCAAATGCGATTGTTGTGACAGAGCCAGAGCCCATCCCTGTTGCTCATTGCCACTCCAGCTATGAAAGTTATAATGTCTTCAGTCTTACTGATTTTAGAAGGTGGTTTGTGCAGCATGGCTTTTTTTTTTTTTTAAATCAAGACAAATAGGAGCAGGAATGGGCAAGTATGAGTAGTAACAACTGGGGACAGAATAGATAATTCAGTTTTGTCCAAAGAAGGGATATCATGGGAACTGTTTTGTTTTGGCAATTAAATTGAAGTTGTGAAGCCTGAGCCAACCGTTTCTCTCACTCTCTATTTTTTGTTGTTGTTAAGGGTTTATTGTCCCTGCTTAATAGAATTGGAGGATGGAGTATAAAAGGGACATCCCCGCATCCCGCTGTAACTCATTTTTCTCACTTCTAGTTTGGTAATTGATAGGCCACTGCTTCTGTTTAATGAAAAGCTCCAAACAGGAGGAGGTGTGAGTAGTCTAATGCGTTCAGCTGTCTGATCTTGTCATCTTAATTTGGTCCTTGAGACCACACCTTTCTGGTACACATGACCAGCGTATAATTGAACTGTTTTGTATGTCACTGCAGTCTCCAAATTGCTTAAGTAACAGTCGTGTCTCGTCATGCTGGAGTCTTAAGGGTTTGTTTATGCTGTTGAGCAGTAAAATAAATACTACTTCATATATTAGTGTTTAATGATTTGCCATGGGGCATCAGGAGATCTCTGCTATTTGATGATGCCTTTAGGGAAGAGCTTTGTAAATTATAACTTAAAATAATATCTTACAAGCACCGATTGTAAGAGTGATACCTAATTATTTGAGGTTCAGCAAGCATAGCTGTACCACCATTATTCTGTACATTCTAGTGGTTTACAAGGAATTGCAAGTGAGCCTTTGACTTGTGTAGCTTTAATAGCACAAGCCAGTGTTTGATCAGACAGTAAGAGCTGTTCATTGTCAGAGAAGAGTCTGCAATATTAAAAAAAAAAAGTTAGTTTATTATAGACAAATTTCACTTTAATAAAAATGAAAATCAGTAGCAATTTCACTGTACATTTTTAAGAACTTTACTGTTGTCTACATGTGTATGTGTGTGTATATATATTATATATTATATATATACATACAGATATTATATATTATATATACACACACATACACATGTAGACTATATATATATATAGTATTTGTCATACTGAGAGGCCTGTTGTAAATCCTTGTCATGTATCTTTTCTAATTTACTGATTGAAATAGTCAAGAGTATTTCTGGGAGCTGCAGCTGAAATGAGTAGGAAAATTTTCATGTCAAGGCTACAAATAAAGGTGTTCACAAAAACATTGGCTATCCTTCTGTTTCCTACCCTTTTAGGAAGCTACCTGCAGTTTTCAAAGAAAAAAAAAGGTTACATGCAGTTGAAATGTTCTCTGTTTCTACCTTCCTGAGGAAGTTTCTACTTCTGGAAATGCTGTTTGACTAGAACAGAAAAACAAACATGTCTGTAACATTTTTGTGTGTGCCTTAGGCAATTCAGCACTGAGTACTCAATATTCTTCACAAATATTTATCAGTATTTGAAAATTTCATTAGTGCTGTTTTCTACAAGAACCATTTGTTCATTTGCAGCCATGTTGATTTTAGGCATCAAAATTAAAACAAGAGAAATCCGTGTTTCGCTAGTTCAGAAGTGACTAGCAGTGCTGGAAGAGTTCCAGCAGGGGGTGCTGAACATTTTTAGTGAGAGAGCTGGTCTCCCTCTGTAACTAAGTGACAATGGGCAACATTGGGTTGGTTGGGTTTTTTTTTTTTGAAAAATATACTCTAGATCTGAAAACTCAATTAGGATGACTGCACTGTTTTTTCTTCAGTCAAGTAAGGTGCAAGATTTTATTTTTTTTTTTTAAGTATAAAGGGACATGTTTCTAATTGGTATAGCTTGTGCCAGGTGTTTTTTTTCTTTTCTTGCATTCTGTGTGGGATAACCTGATGATCAATTATGGTGGGCTTACTTATTCTGTCTGCTTCGTTCTTTTTCCTTCTTGTGACTCTCAGAACTGAAGCCCGTTATTTTAACTGCGAATGTTCCATTTTAAGTAGTTGTATGTGATTCTGTTTTATTTTTAAGTTTATCATTAATTAGTCTTAAGTGAAACTTAAGTACCTGTCCATTGCCAGTATATGTGGTGTCCGCAGTTTTTATGGTCATAAAGAGGAATGGCTTGGAGGGTGCTCTTTCAATATGAAATTGGATATTTTGCAAACTGATTATGTAGCAGAAGTCCTTGAGGGTAACAGGTGGTGTCCTCTGCTTTTTTTCTCCTCCCCCCAGGTACCTTCATTCAAATAACATAGTTGTTGTACCTGAAGGTAAGTACTCTACCAGCTCACCTAAGTGGCAGGAATCATAAAATATTCATTTTTCTTCTTTGAAGAGGCCTATCTTTTTCTTTATTTTCCCATAAAACATTAAAGAGCTTGATACAAAACATACCAGTATAGCTCTTAGTTGATAATATCCTTGTTTATGTTATATTAAATTCTTCTAATGAACTCTCAAATGCATCTGAATGCTTTTTGCTTCAATTCTAATTGAAGAAACTGGAATGGCTAAATGGCACTCGTCTGCAGAAAGAAAAATCTGGAGTGTCTTCTGCTCTGAGCTGGTTACCACACAGAATACTCTGCTGGTTTATGTCATGACACTTTTGAACTTAAAATATCAAGAACTTGTGTTAATCTCCTGTGCGTTAAATTTAGAGTTCTGTGTCCAACTTCAGTGCAGTTCTTAAAGCTCTATTGGTGCATATAGATTGGATAGATGCAAAGGAATGAAAAAAAAATTCAGAGCAGAATCATCTGAGGAAAATCTAGAAATGGGAGCATCCTGTACATCACTTTTGTTTTCCTCCCAACCTCACTACCAGCAATACAGTTTTTTAGATGAGCATTTTCATCAACTATGTCATTCAGTTCTCAGACCGACTTTAATGCATGAAAATCTGCTGATACTTAGGTATAAGGTACTATGGCTTTTTATCCCCTCGTAGTCCTATTAAGTTTTTAACGTTACTGTTGGGTCACATTCATGTTTTAATCTGTTCTCTTGCAAGCCATTGGTTCCCTCGTTAAACTGCAGTTTCTGGACCTAAGTGATAATGCCCTTGAAATTGTGTGTCCAGAGATTGGTCGCCTGAGATCTTTACGTCATCTTCGTTTGGCTAACAACCAGCTGAAATATTTACCTGCAGGTAAGTACAAACAAAGTATTAAAACAACAGCAAAATCCATTTGATCCTCTTTGGTACAGTGAATTGTTCTAGGTTTACTCAGATCTTAGAGATGAAGCATGGCACAACTTGAATGCAAAGATGAGGTAGGGATTACCACTGCCCAGTGTTGTACCAAATGCACTTAAAAAATAATAAGCTGTGCAGTATTGATGTGAGGTGGAGGAAAATAATGAAAAATATTTCTGTAGAGGAAAATAAAGTATTTATGTAACAGCTGTTGCCATTGTAACAAAGTCTGGAAGTTACTCAAGACGACACAAAATGCTAATGACAAATGTCATTATGATAAAATGTTTATTTGGATTTAACTGAGTATAAAGTATTCCAGTCCTCCTTCTATCTTTTAGCCAAACAGCCTCATGCTTTTTCAGAAAAGACACGTGTCCAGTAGCTTTGCCTATGGCAGTTCTACCTCAGTATGACAGTAGATAACAAATGTTGGTCTTACTGGCTTATAACAAAAAAGCAAAATTTATTCCAAGTAAATGTGACACAGTCAGAAGAAGTTGGCCATAGGCAAATTTTGAATGCTTTTTTTTTTTTTTTTGCTTTCTAAGTACTTTGATAAGCAAAAGTAACTGATTTCTTTTCTTGCATCTTCAATCTATCTGTCCAGATCAGATGACAGTAATTTTTGAATTTTTTTCACTGTTTTATTTTTTCATCTTGCTCTGGGGTTTTTGCCTTTTCTGATCTGCAGAGAAGATAAAATGTAAGGCCAGCATTTAAAAAAAACAAAACAAAAAATTGGTGTAACATAAGTCTAACAGGATTAGCTTTTGGCTGTAATTTGAACTAAATTTTCAGTGTGACTTTCATGTGTTTTTAAGTTCAGGTGGCTTATTTGCAAGAGATATACTGCAATTGTTCTTTGAAGTTTTGGTTGCAGAAATCTAGGTAGTCCTCTCCTTGTACTTTTCTAGGCATAATAAGCTTTGTACAACCAGTCAAAGAATGATTGTGATTAGAAAGGAAAAATAAATTGGCTTTGTAAATGCTCTGGAATGAAATTAGGTAAACCTGTTATACATATGACCTAAGGCCAGTAAAATTTCCATCAATTTTAAGATGTCCTACGTTCAAGAGAAAGGAGTGTTTTGAATGTGCTTTATGTTCCTCAAAGATAATTTACCTTATGGTGCTGTACCATGAAAGAAAGACTTGTTCAAAGAAAAAGTGGCACATTTGCTTCAAAAATTCACACATTAACTTAAAAAGGTTCCAAGAAAAGATTACTTTCAAAAGGATAATTTACATTACTGAGGAGCTGATTTCGAGTCTACCACATTTGGAGGTGGTATCAGCAGCGTGTAAAAGCTTCATTTAATTTGTTCTGAAGTTTACAAAATTTTGTACTGAACGTCATCAGAAAAAAGTGATTTTTCACTTTAAACGTATGAAAATTTTGCATGTTTAGAAACAATACTACTGTTGCTAATTTTATATTGGAGAATCCATTGATGTCTGTTCTTTGTTTCTGTGCTAGAGTACCATCAGTGTGTACATATGTCATTATTGCTATCATTTCTAATCCTATCTGTTCAGATGGTGTCAGTGTCATCATGGCTGGATGTCACACAGCAGGAGTGTTACCAGTCCAAGCAAGATTTATCTTTCACTTACACTGGAGAATATGCCCAACTAATCTACTGCATTGAGTGTTTCTAAATGTAACATTTCCTGAGGAGCTTGTTTCCTTAGGTTTACGTTGTCAAACAGTGAAAATTTTAAAGATTACTTCTACTTAAACTTGAAAATACCATTAATATTGAACAGTTGACAAGATAGAGCAAAGTAGTAGGTTTTCTTAAGTTGTTTTATTCTCACTTACGTTGGTAGTATGAATTTTCATACAAGAGTGTTAAATGGCATTCTCTCAGGAAAACAAGCAAAATTAATAAAACAAAGCTAGGGTGAGGTATGATTTCACTGCAGTATGTTGTTATACTGGGTTGTTGTTAACTGCTTTATTTAGAGCAGATATTGCATTGCAACAAGTTGTTAGGGAAAAACAAACCTTAATTTCTGTTACTTTGTAAAAGAAGTTACCATTTCAGACAGAGTTTAGCTTCTACAAATGCAGCTTGTGCTGAATGTAGAAAGCTGCTTTAAAGAAAAAAATCTCAGGTAAGGGTGGTGGTCATTTGCAGAAGCAACTTCTCAAAACTGGTGATTATCATCTTACCTCAAACTTTGTCCACACAGATATCATGTAAATGGCACTGAACTGTTTATCACAGCAGGGACCCAGTTAAGAAAGGTTGATTGCTATTCAACCTGCAGCATAATGATGTCATCACATAAAAAGCTTGCTTCAGAGTTGTTAGCCTGTCATTCCTCTTCTCTTTCCCTTCCTGGTGTCTGGTGCTCTAAGCACTCTGTTTTTGTTGAAACTACATGGGTATTTGTAGCAACTTATTGAGGGTACTAATAAATCTTTTTATTATGACTGCAAACATTTGGATGGCAAATAGGTTCTCATATTCATAGTGATGCTTTTCTATCGGAGTTTATATTTTTAAGAATGACTCTGTTTTATCTTCTGTAGTTGTGATTAAGGATTGAAAGAAAAAATGAATAGCATGTGGTGTTTAATTATCTGTTTTTGATGAGATTGTTCCACAGTTGTGCTATTAACACTCATTAGTATTTTACTGTTGCCTTACAGAAATTCAGCATAGCTTTTATTTTTAAACATTTGAATCAGTATGTGAAATGAAGCCTTATAAAATGTTTGTTTTCAGTATGATTATAGACGTTTTTGAGACTCTAATAAAGATTGAGCATGTGCTCCTGTTTACCTTCAGTGTGATGGGCAGAAAGGTTTTAGTGTTTATGTATTTGTTCACATAAAGTTTGTGAGAATTGAGTAACTGGAAGACCTCTCTTCTGTTTCAGGTTTAATTATGTCTGTCTAAGTAGGTTTGAGAAGTTGTCTTGAGAAGATGCAAGGGAGAATGACGAAAAAATGTGCAGGCTGTATGAAAGATGTAGTTTCCTAAAGAAATCAGTCCGCATTGATGAGGGGAAAAAGGCCAGTAGTTGAAGCATGGATATTATGTTTCTTGGAGATTAGAAAATGCTTTGCGTGCTGTAGCGTTCTTGTAGTGTAAATAATAATCCTACCCTTGTGCTTAGCAAACACTGTGAAGTCAGCGTCACCTGTTGATAACTTCATGCACTTTGGCCTCTGAGCGCATTGTTTTTGGTGGTTGGATGCAATTAAACAATCTGACTTGACTCATGTATCTTGACAGCTTTGAAAGGTGACTGAGCTGAATTTGGTGAGAAGCAAATGGAAAAATTGTCCGGAATAAGCACATTGAAATGGAACATGAATTAGCTAGAAGAAAATGCTTCGTGAAATTCTGTTGCTGTCATGTTTTGTATATTCTTTGGTAAGGTTAATAAATGGACCTGCTTTTGTCTCATGTAGAGTCAGAGTATCTAAATTGTGATACTAAAAAAAAAAAATACTAAGTGAAAGACCCTCTTTGAGACAAGAGCTGTTTAAAAAGCTGCAACTAAGTCTAAAGAAATGAACATGGTGAGAATTTTAATATTTACAAGAGTTCTCCTGAATTCCTTTTTAATTGAAGTGTACAGCATTCGTTTTGTTTTGCAAATGGCAGACCTTGTGTCTTTTGTCCTTAACAACATATTGGTTTTTTAGTTGACACTGGAAAATGGAATTCTTGAATATCGCACTTTCTGCTATTTAACTGTACCACTTAAATCCTTCAGATTCTTGAGGACCATTTAGATATACTACTGGGGATATTTTTTGAAAAATCTTAGTTGTGTATAAGTGAAAGATGGATTGTATTATTATAGGAACTCTATTTTAAGAAATTTCGCTCCAGGAGTTGATGCATCACTTTAATTTAGGATTTTAGTTAGGTCTATTTGAATATGTTGAAGTAAATTTTCTGACCCTTCTTAAAAATGATTGCTTAGAAACTTTCTGAAAGTTCCTTTTCTCTGATGTTCATAATATATATGGTGCATCAACTCTTTTCATACTTGAGAAATTAGATTTTTCTTTCTCTATAAGAATTGCTATATAAACTGTAGTTGCAAAAAAAAAAAAAAAATCACTGGGCTGTACTGGGGAAATGATTCTTCAGGAGGGAAAACTGAGACATCTTTAGCTTCAGGACTGTTATGTTATCATATAGACTTGATTTTACTTTATCCTTTAAGTTTTGATGTGATGATTTTTCATCTTGGTTTTGTAGTTAGTGAATGCATGTGTGGACAACAGATAACTGGAAAGAAGTGGGTTATACTCGGACGAATGTTTGGTGTTTGACAAGGATTGGGCTTGTATTGCACACTGCTTGACAAATACTTCTTTTGAAATGGCAAGTTGTAGCATCTTGCTCAAAGATTTAATTAAAAATGAGGTTATGTTTACTCAGCACATGTTGGAGTTAATTATAGATATACTAAAATGAAAAGCTTCATGTTTTGCCAAGTCAAGAGCAAAAGCTTAAGCAATTATACAAAGAATAGGGTATGGTTTATGATCCCAGCACATCTTTAGGCAAAATTCCCATGAAAATGGAAGTGTGTGTATGTAGATATATAGCAGCACTTGTCTTTATATGGGCTAGACCAAGTTTCCCTCTGTGTTTGTTGTCAGAAACAGTTCTTAAATGCTCTGAGTGCATTGATCAAGCAAAATAAATAAAATGCAGTTGAATAATAGCAAATTGTATGCAATCTGTGTGAAGCTGTTTCTTTGATTTGTGAAGCAAAAGTGCAGGTGAGTGGGGTGTGTGAGCAGTGGTGGCAGCAGGGAGGCATGGATCTCTGCAGCACTCAAATTCAGGTTTGCCAAATACTACCCTTTCTTTCCTAACAAAAGGTGGGGCATCCATTTCTAATTAACGTTTGTGTTCTCTTGATACCTCTGCATGCTGCATTCAGTTGTTGCGTTTTGCTTGATTTAGGTT